AGAATCTTGCCTTGTGCTCCCTCCCTTTAAATTCCAAACTGGCTGTGCTGCATCCCACAGGGACTCTGATAGGATACGTTTGTTGTTTGCCTCCAGTTTGAACTGGTATACACTGATTTGTGCAATCTTAATCAGTCCAAGCAAAGGAAGGTTACCACACTCTTTAATGAATCCAATGATAAGGATGAAAACAATCAAAAGCAAAGCTTTTGTGATTCTAGTGAGGAGACCCTGAACCATTGATCTTTTACAGGTTTTCCTTTCTTACATCAATAAATCACTCAAAATGCTATCTAAAACAGACTTGTACGGCCCCCTCATTTTGAGCTCTGAAAATGCTCTAGTTGCTATTCCTTGACACCAGATTCAGCTTTACAAATAAACTACATTGCCTGCACAGTGGACAAAATACTAAAACACAAGGTAATTACTGTAGACTGGGATATGGTGACAATACAAACTTTAATTTAAGACAAAAGAAACATTACTTCTCTTTTTGCTCTGAAATGTTAAAGGTGAGTGTGCAATTACCAGAACATAATTAACAGAATTATACTCTCTTTTGATGGATGCCGAGCTAGCAACAACACAGGTAGCAGTCTGCAACAAAAGGATGCTAATTCAACTGAAGTAAGGTGAATTGTTTTGATTTATAGTTCTTAACAAATGTTTTATCCCTTTACTCTGACTTATGGTGTATCATGTTGAAGTGTGGTGTGATTAGAAACTATCTGAGACTATGGCCTTTGCTGAACAATAGAAGCAAATGCATCACCCAAACAATTTGGTTTATGTCTTTTCAGCAGCCTTCTTGGAGCTTAGCTTTCTTTTACTTAGCAAGGATTTTTATACAATAGATGAACATAGTACTCAAGTTGCATATATTTAGCATTGTGCACGCTGCCCATTCATACTTAGGCTAATAACTGAAATATTGTATCCTTCATGTTTTCAATACATAAAGTAGCATACCCAAATAATGAAAATCTGACTACAAGCTGAAAAGTGCAAATCACTGTATATGAGCTGTCACTGGGGGGAACTGTTAATTCATGCAGCAGTTTTTGAGGTTGATAGGGATAACACCAAAGAACACAAGTGTTCAAAAAAGTGAGGACTAACCAAATGTTAAGAGCACAAAAAACATGTTACACATATGATAAAATTTGAGTGGACAAAATAATTTAAAACAAGTAAAAAGTATGATTTTTAGAACATTTTTGGATCATCAAAGGCCATAATTACAATACAGCATGACCTTGATCTACTGTTGATGATCATCCCTCTGTATTCAATTCTGATGAGGTTGCACCTTGAGTACAGTGTACAGTTTTTGAGCTCCTTACAAGAAAGACATTGAGAGCCTGGAACATGTCCAAAGAAGGGCCGAAAAGCTGATGAGAGCTCTGGAGCACAAGTCTTATAAGGAGAGACTGAGGGAGCTGAGATTGTTTAGTTTGGAGTAGAGGAGGTTAAGAAGAGACCTGATAGCTTGCTACAACTATCTGAACAGCAGATGTGGTGAGGTGAGGGCCAGACTCTTCTGCAAGGTAACAGTGATAGGATGAGAGGTAATGGCTTCAAGTTGTGCCAGGGGAGATTCAGGCTGGGGATAAGGAAAAAAGTCTTCTCAGAAAGAGTGGTGAGGTATTAAAGCAAGCTGCCCAGGGAAGTGGTGGAGTCAATGTCCCAGGAAATTTTCAAGAAAAGAGTATTTGTGACATTTATGGACATGGTTTAATGGATATGATGGGGGTGGATGGAATATTGAACTAGATGATCTTAGATGTCTTTTCCAACCTTAATGATTCTATCATTCTGCAAAAATATTTTGCAGAAATTGGTAGAAAATAATTCAATAGACAGTTCCACAGTGGCTACTGTAGGATGGCATAACCAAGTGGTAGCTTCCCACCAAAAATGCTCCAGTCTAAAACAACAGCATTTTTATGTTTCTTTGGCTTTATTCATACCTCTCTTGGCAAGACAAACACTCATGGCCATGAAGAAAAGGACCAAATACATCTTTGTAAAAGCTACTCAGAATCATATGTTTTGTTTAAAATGTCATGGAGAAACTAGTTCTTTGGCAGGAACATTTGAAAGGAGAACATAACAGAGTTGGAAAACAGAGATCACAACTGAGTATTATGCTTGTGAACAGTAGTATTTTGACAAATTCCATGAAACTGTTCTCTATCCTTTTTCATAAGCCCTTTAGTCCTGTAGAACCTAGCCAGAACTATTGGTGATAGGTGGATGGTTGGACTGGATGATCTTGTAGGTCTTTTCTAACGTTGGTGTTTCTGTGATTCTGTGATTCTGTGAATCTAAATAGACTCTATCCAACCATAGGTGACAAGATTTATTCTGATTTATGTTAGTGAGAGAGAAAACAAATGACAGCAATAAGAATAATACAGGAAGTAGATCTAGAAGCTCAGTGGGTTTGGAAAATACCTGCATATCGGCAGGAATAATGCTATGTGGAAAAACTTGGCTTTGTTTTAAACAAAAATGTAATTTTACAGAAGCACATCCTCACAAAGAAAAATATTTTATTAAATAGTGTTAATAGGTATGTTATATCTAGAACAACATTATTTTGTTTTCCAATGATTAGGTCTCTGTTGCATTACTGTGTTCAGTTTTCAGCATAATATTTTTAAAAGACAGACAAACTAGGAAGAGTTCAGAGGAGAGTGACAGAAATGATGAAAAGTTTGGAAAATAAGATCTATGAGAAAAAGCGAAAGAGTTATGTTCAGACTAAGGAAAAGAGGACTGAAGGGAGACATAATCTTTCTAAAAATACATGAAGAGTTGCTATGAAGAGTTGCTATAAAGAGGATAGGGACAAATTATTTTCATTAGTCAATGAGGACAGAACAAGAAGTAATGGTCTTATGCTGCAGTAGAGCACATCTAGGTTAAGTGTAAAGGAAAAACCTTAACTAACAGAACAGCTAGAAACACAGCTTGCTGCCACAGGAGCCTGAAAAACTCTCTTTGAGATTCAGTTTTCACTTATTCTTGCTTTAAATCTGAAAGAGGGAGGATCACACAGCAGTTAGGTCTCTAGCCAGTTTCTTTCTGCACTGCAGATTTCTTATGTGACCTCAAGCAAGCCAGTTAGCACTGCATTTCAGCTCCCTAGCTGTAAAACAGTGACAAAAGCAATTCCCAGAGTCTCAGAGATGCTGTAAGGACAAATAGTTAAGGATTCTGAGACTCTCTATGAGCCATCTGAGTGATTAATTTAAAAAGTGAAGAATATGAACTCGCCACAAAGTAGAGCCACCAACTACCGGGCTACTTGCAGGTACCCTGCAAACCAAATGAATTCTGTGACTGCTACAATGTATCTTAGCTGATACATCCAGCACAAGGCACTCTAGGATGATCCAATACCTGAAAGAAAAGCCGTATCTGAGAGGAAAGATTGAAAAGTAACAATAAAGCAGGAGCTGCATGGCTGATAGCACAGCTCATTAGTGGCCTAACCCAACAATACACTGACACTACTGGACTTTCTTATCTCAGTAGAAGACATATTAAGATCAAAAACTAGTCATTAAGAGTGAATAGGGATTAAGTATCAGAGTTTTCAAGTGTTCTACTGTAGCAGTTGAGTTTGTTGGAAGACTCAAATCAAATCTAGTTGGAATGTTAGAAAACATAAAATTAATAAATAATAATTTATTAAATAAGAAAGATTTCAGGGAAAAAAATATTGTTTTTCCAGGAGCTGTTCTGATAATTTTAAAGGAAAGCTCACTGTTATTTATTGATTAATTTCATGCAGTTATTTTTGATGGTTACAAAAAAAAAAAAAAAAAAAAAAAAAAAAAAGCTGCTTTTCCTATGCAAAAGTAATTATTGATGGTGGTAAATTCTGTGAAAAGGTCAAAAATGAAGAATCAGCAACAGCATAGGTTCTAAAGAATAAGAATTTTATGATACTAAAAATATTTGAGCCTGTGAAAGCTAAAATATCATTGCAAATAAATGTAGTTTAAATTTTTCAATTATTTCCTGCATTTTATCCAGTATGTAACCTGAGAAAAGTTTAATCACTCTCTTAAATAAATAAATAAATATTCTGTGGCATTTTCATCTTATTTTTATGATGAAACACACATCTCCCTGGCCTTAAATGCTGTGAGAGTCAGAGAATCATAGAATCACAGAATCACAGAATGACCTGGGTTGAAAAGAACCACAATGATCATCTAGTTTCAATCCCCCTGCTATGTGCAGGGTCACCAACCACCAGACCGGGCTGCCCAGAGCCACATCCAGCCTGGCCTTGAATTGCCACCAGGGATGGGGCATCCACAACCTCCTTGGGCAACTTGTTCCAGTGCATCTGAGTGAAAAAACTTCCTCCTAATATCTAACCTAAACCTACTCCGTCTCAGTTCAAAACCATTCCCTCTTGTCCTATCAACCCACATAAACAGTCGCATCTCCTCCTTTTTATAAACTCCTTTCCTTTCCAATATAGGAAGACCACAGTGAGGACTCCCTGGAGCCCTTCTCTTTTCCAAGCTAAACAAGCCCAGTTCCCTCTACCTTTCCTCATAGGAGAGATGCTCCAGCCCTCTGATCATCTTAGTGGCCCTCCTCTGGACCTACTCCAAGAGCTCCACATCCTTCCCGCACTGGGGCCTTAGGCCTGGATGCAGTAAAAACAAACAAAAAAAAAGTTTTAGTGTCCCCTAATTCCTCCATTGCAATAGAAAACCCTCAATAGATGAAAGAAACATAAGGAAGCTGTGAGAAGAAAACTGATCTGCAGCTAACATGTAGAACACAAGAGACAACAGAATACATAACAAGTCAGTGGAACCTAGAACATTGATTTCAGCAAGGCATTTGATACTGTCCCCCACGACATCCTTATAATAAAGCTGAGGAAGTGTGGGATAGATTAGTGGACAGTGAGGTGGCTGACTGACAGAGCACAGAGGGTCATTGTTGGTGGTGCAGAGTCCGGTTGGAGACCTGTAAGCAGCAGTGTTCCTCAGGGGTCAGTGCTGGGTCCGGTCGTGTTCAACATCTTCATCAATGACCTTGATGAGGGGATAATGGCCACCCTCAGCAAGTTTGCTGATGATACGAAGTTGGGAGGATTGGCTGACACGCCTGAAGGCTGTGCTGCCATTCAGCAAGACCTGGATAGGCTGGAGAGCTGGGCAGAAAAAAAACGGATGAGGTTTAACAAAAGCAAGTGTAGAGTCTTGCATCTGGGGAGGAATAATTCCATGCACCAGTACAGGTTGGGGGATGACCTGCTGGAGGGGAGCTCTGCGGAAAGGGACCTGGGTGTCCTGGTGGATGACAGGTTGGCCATGAGCCAGCAGTGTGCCCTTGTGGCCAAAAAGGCCAATGGCATCCTGGGATGCATTAAAAAGAGCGTGTCCAGCAGGTCGAAGGAGGTGATCCTCCCCCTCTACTCTGCCCTGGTAAGACCTCACCTGGAGTACTGCGTCCAGTTCTGGGCTCCCCAGTACAAAAAAGACAAGGATCTCTCGGAAAGAGTCCAGCGGAGGGCCACAAAGATGGTGAAGGGCCTGGAGCATCTCTCCTATGAGGAAAGGCTGAGTGATCTGGGTCTGTTCAGCCTTGAGAAAAGAAGACTGAGAGGGGACCTGATCCAGGTCTATAAATATCTAAGGTATGGGGGGCAGAATGGCGAGGCCAGACTCTTTTCAGTGGTGAGTGGAGACAGGACAAGGGGAAACGGCCGGAAACTGCAGCATAGGAAGTTCTGCACAAATGTGCACAAGAACTTCTTTACAGTGAGGTGACGGAGCACTGGAACAGGCTGCCCAGGGAGGTGGTGGAGTCTCCTTCTCTGGAGATGTTCAAGACTTGCCTGGATGCCTACCTGTGCGACCTGGTGTAGGGAACCTGCTTTGGCAGGGGGCTTGGACTCGATGATCTCTGGAGGTCCCCTCCAACCCCTACAATTCTGTGATTCTGTGATTCTGTGATTAGTGTAAAAATAAAGAGAAACCATTTCACATTCCAAGCACTGAGGCTCAAAATGAAACATTTTTCAAAGATAGAAGAAGTGCATTTCCCTACAGGCACATTTGATTTTATTGACTAGCATCTATGCAGGAAAAATAAGGTGCAAATGACAGGGTAACTGTAAAGTAAGTCGAGAACCCAGCTGGAGCACATGAAAATCATGACAGAAAATCTCAAAAGAACTTGACAGCACACGAGCACAATTAACTACCATTAATCTCAATGCAATAGGCACTTCATTTGAGGAGTGAAATAAACATGTGCTGCAGAGAATTATGTGCTATATGCTTATTCATATGTATCTCTATGCTTACCACAAAATCCTTTCAAGTAAAACTGTGTGAACAGTGTGTTTGTATTTCTATTCAGTTGAGAAGACAACAATAAAAATTCAGCTTAATATTTGGCTTTGGTTTCAAGTTATTTCAGCTGTCTTATAATCCCCTAGAGGAAAAAAATTGTGCAGCAATATTTGAAATGAATAAGTTTGTTTGAAATAAAGAGCCAGAATGCTTTCTTCCAAATAAATAATAAATAAATAAATAAGACACCAATATAAAATAAAATAAAAAGTGGAAATGAGAAAGACTGTCAGGAAAGAAAAAAATCTCCAAAGGGAAAAGATGCAAGTCTAACTTTGAACTTAGGCACTTCCCACATTGTAATCAAGTGACTTGCCAGCCAACCACACATGTATACCAGAGAAACAAGTGAGAATGAGACTGTGGGGAGTGTGATAACAGTTCTGCACTCATAGCGCTTTCATCTTGTAGTACATATATTTGTGCAGTTGATACGTTTACCAGTAGCCTTTTTTCATGTTGCTGATGATTGTTTGCTCAGTAGCTTGCAAACAGTGCTTTGCTGTTAAAAAAGAAATAGTGTTTTTGTTTATATAGAAATAGTAACTAACTGGATTAATGACATATATGAGTAGATCTTGTACACACAGAATACAAATAGATGGTCTGTGAGGGTTTCACTTGCGTACTCCCTCATGACTCATTGGTAGACAAATTACTTCTAGGTTTTAGGTCAAAAAGGAAATACACAATTCCTTCCTTCTTCCACTGAAATTGTTTTAGAAGGCTATTTTTCTTATTTCAGATTTCAAGAGGCATTGAATGTCATACAAAAAATAGGATGTTGTAAAGTATTTCCTGGTATTATTTCAAACTGATTCATACTGCAGTGCCTGCTTGTCTAGAGCCATTGTTAAATATTTCAGTAAGTTTCATGTATTTATTTGCATTTGCTTTCCTTCAAGCTTTACAGCTTGAATGATGCCAGTAATAGAGGGGAAGCATGTTTGTCTTCCCTAACTGTCACTGATGACACAGATAAGTAAAATGGATGTGGGTGTTTCTGTTTTGTTTCTTACTAATGAGGCTTTTCAAGTATTTCAGTAATGAAGAATTTGACATTCAAAGTGTTTGCAGCTATTGCCCTCATCAGGGTATGCCATGAAGAAAGAAGCCCAAAGTTTTTCACTGAAAAACGGAATTAATCTAGGAAAGACAACAGCTATGAGAAAAAAAGAAAAAAAAAATCAAAAATAACAACAAAAAAAAACAATCATAATCCATCAGGTTTGGTGAAGCAAAAACTATCTGGAGGGTCACTTTGACATGAAAATAACATATTGCTACTGATGCAGCTAGTGAGTATATCAACAGAGGAATGACAGCAGAGCCCACAGGCCTTCCCAGAGCTGAGATAGGAGAAGAAAGAGGCAAGAACCAGTATTTAACAGGAAATTACTGTTTTCAACTGTGCACTTGAGCCAATGCAAACTATTCTGTTCCCCTGTGTATTATTAGACTGTTTTGATTTGATCAATTAATCAAAGTTTAGACTCTTTGGCAGTAGACAAAACCAGTAAAAGGAATATATTGATTATGGCATCAGATATGTTTGATTCAATCTTGTCTATGTACAATAAAATGTATATAACACTTTTTTCCCTGAACACAGCAAGAATCAAATGAAGCAGCTTCCTTGCTGACTGCTTCAAGCTCTTGTTAGGTAACGCTCAGCTTCAAAAACCTTTCAGCTTTTCCTCTATTTCATATTACTCAGCTAACTGAAAGCAGGTCCATTTCTTCTTTGTTGTAGCTTCTTTCTTTCTCAGAAGCTTTTGCTTTTCTGTCAGAAGATTCAGAACCTTAAAAACAGAGTATCCAAAAGAATCTCTCCACTCTGACGTTTATTTCAAATGTGTTATAGGTGACAGCTATTGTTTCAGCTGTCTAGTTCCATTTAGAAGTTTCATCAGTTTCTCACCTAAATCACAATATGAAGCAATGCTGTTTGCATTTGTTAATGAAACTAGAAGGCATAACCAGCTGTATTGCTTCATGAGCAGTTACCATGCAGTAGGAATCCTGATAGAAATTATCTGACCCCATGAGAAGAGGACTGTTAAAAATACAAATTTAAATAATAGATCAAAAGATCATCTTTTCTAGAACTGGAAAGAGGTCTGGTATATGGAGACAACGAAAGGTGCTGTCAGAAAAAACATTGCCTGGGCATCCAACCTTCTAGCTGTATTACTGACTAAAAAAGGTAGGAAAATCTCTCCTAAGATGTGGACTTACAGCCCTTTTCTCTGAAAAGAAAAAGATTTGCAAGGAAAGCTAATTTAAAGAGTAATAATAGCTAATAAAAATTTTATCTTTTAATTCCCCTTATATTTTTCCTCCATTCTTAAATGACCTTTAGTACAAACACTGTCAAGATGTAGAAGTTACTCCTTTCCAAATGAAGACAAAATCAAAACAAATAAAATCTAATCCAAGTATTTATTCAAAATGTGTATGTTTTATTAAAACAACAACAACAACAACACACACCTAAATAATAATTAAAACAAAGAGCTGTATTTTTCTTCTTACTTCATCACAATATAACAGAGATATCCCTCACCTCACTTCACTGACTAGGAGATACAGTTGCTTCCTTAAAAATTAGGCCAATGGAAAGCGCAGTGAAACTTGGCAGAAGCAGCTTTCCCTATGGCAGAGACTGAGCTTGCATCAGCAACACTGATGGAAATTAATATTAAATAAGAAAGTAGATAACAAGGTGAGATTCATGTCACTTGCTTTTAGATAACCAAAATGTTGACACCTACTATTTTATAATTTACCACAGTCACTTTTTACAGCCAATGGAGAGGAAATGGCATTTTAAAGATATTTCATCTGACCTATTTGAAATGTTTACATTGGGATGAGATAAATTGTACTGTCAGTCTGTTACTTTCTCTAGAGGGAGCGGTAGAAGTTCAGTTATAGACAGACACATAGCAGGTATCTCCAATTGGTCATAAAAATCCCAGTCATAAAAGAAACAGGACCAAAGGGAAAGGTGGGAGAAGACATCAGAACACAAGGGTACCCAATATATAATGCATCTCAAAATTCAATAGCTAAGAAAGCACAAATGTAAAAAAGATAAAAGCAAAAGAGTATTTCAAAAAGTATTCTAGTATTTTATTTCCTCATCATATAATGCAATGGAGAAAGTGGTGGGTCTTTCCACTGAAAGAGATATGAAAAAGCCATCTAGCCCACCACCCTAACACAGCAAGTTTGTTCTGTCATTTGTTACTGCTCTGGTAGGTCTCAAAACATATGAATCCAAGGAAAATTATTCTTTCCCTAAGAAAGAAAGGAAGAAACAGGTTTTGTACAAAGCATCCTGAGATCTTTTTTTTTTTTTTTTTTTTTCCTGCAATTAACTGTGAATATTTTATTCTATTTTGGATCCATTTTCTCCTCTTGCCTGCTAAATAATTCGTTCTATTTTTACATATGTTAAACTATTCATAAGTATTAATCTTGAAGAAAAGGAAAAGGGTTAAAGTCCATTGTGCTACAAGTATAGCTAAACTTAACAAGAGGGTCAAAGAGCAATTAACAGATTTGTAGGTGAAATTATCTCCTGACACTAAATTACAATAACTGTCAGGATTTTTTTTAATTTTCAAAATACCATGGCATATAATTTCAACTGTGTGAAACTTTTCCTTTTTGTCAGAATGAGATAGAATTTAAGCTATTGAGAGTGAAAATGTACCTTTAAAACAAAGACCTGTGCAGAAAATTTTCACTTCATCTGTGGAGGAGAGAGTACATTTTTCTTGCAGTTATAGGAAGAGACATTCACAAGAAAACACTCTTTTATAGATTTGTTTCTGTTACACTCGTTTCACTTTACAAACTAACAGAACTGTGT